ATGTTGTTATGCTGCCCTAGCTAATTTGTGATTGTGACTTTCTATATATTTTTGCAACTTTCAAATTCCATCATGCATCATCCACTTTAAATCAAACCATAATAAGACTCCCCATTCTGGTGTTTGATTTTTGAAAATTTGACTGGGAATTCTAGTCCATACCCTTCTTGAAACTAACTTTTGAACCTACAATGTCATTGGATCTTATTTTTCTAGAATCTAGTTAGTAATTGTGACATTCTTTGCAAACACTAAAACTAATATTATGAGCATAACTGTAGTACATATCAGATGTTTTCTTCATAGAATTATAAACACCCTGTATATAAGAGAAAACTACTTAGACCATTGAAAAAACTAAAATTTACATTAAAATCATACTTACATAACAAAATCATGCTTCTTCGTGACATTTGACATATACATAATTAAAGAGTACACCGTAATTCTTCAAAAAATATATATTTATAGAAAATATAATATAACTTTGGAGGAGTTTAAAATTTAATGATAATAATCCTAAATTTTTCTCCCAAAATTGCATTAACTCTTCCTGAATGTTTTGCATACCGCCTTTCATCTCCTTGGAGAATGAAACGTCCTCCGACCTAGTTTCCATCTTCTTCACCTATTTCTTATTTTTCTTTCTCAACAGGTAAGAGGTAATATTTAATTTGCCCTCCAAAACCCTAAATACTTGGTCGCTTTTAAAGGTTCCTTTTAAAAAAAAAGGTAAAATTAGTGTCTCAATCAGATCAGGTTGTATGAAAAATAATATAAATATTAAATATCCATATATTAATATTTTATTAAAGTCTGTTCGGACTTTACACAGAGTAATTTCTCCTACTATCCCATACTCGAGTATTTTGAGGCTACACAACTTGTAAAAATGACTCTACTTGACTATTGGAGAGCTGTCCGTCAAGCTACTCATCATAATGGAAATCACAAAGAGACTAATATGTTATCACTTATTATTATTTTTTTTGAACCAATCGTGCCATATTAAAGCGCGTCAATTAATGTGAGTTCACTAATTTGATGTTGGCACGTAGTGTCATTTACCATTGTTATAAGTTTATCTTTTGCATTTCCTCACCGCTTCACTCTAGAATTTTATAATTCTAATTAAATATTCTCTAATAAGTTATTTATTTCTCTATTATTTTCCTCATTTAAGGGCAGATGGGGGGGTTGGGAATTTTTTTAAAAATTAACCTTAATTTGTTCAGTTTAAGTGTTATTTGCGACTAGCCCTCTCATCGGCTCCACTACTTCAGGTTCAAGCGAGTACGTGACATTTTGAAAATAGGATTCTCCTCCCTCGATGGCTCATTCATGCACATAATAGGCGTCAGCCGGTTGCTAGTTATAGCCAGATGTGCCAGTATGCAGTAGATTTCTTCCGTCATTCTGTGTATTCCTCCCTGCGGCTCAGAGAGGCAATGCTGCAATTTTGCATAGAGGTAAGGACCTAAAGTTCTTTTATTTTATTTTGGTTTATTTCAATTTTCACTTTATAGAAAGATTTATGTTCCTAAACTATCAATGGAACAAAACTATTCAGTTGATTTTGATTTGCTTTTTTATAGAACAAGTTAGGGTTAGAACATTTTTAAGCAAATCATTTCATAATTTGTTCCTAAATTGCAGTAGATTTTTCAAAAAAAAAAAAAAAAAAAAAAGCATCAATAGATCTTTTAATACACTTTAAATGCCCAAATTCCTTTTGAACGTGTTTGCAAATGTTTCATTTGGTTTGGGGGTAGTTTCTTCCATACATATATTCAGCTGGAATGATTTTAAGAAGTTTATTAATGCAACTATCTGTATTATAAGTAATAAGACTGTAGGAAGAGTTTTTTAGCATCTTGGAGCACGGCAGTGCAGAAATCAACTTTATTTTTATGTCATGGATTGTTGGGAAGATTTTACATATTCATACTTAATTTTATTCTAGTATCATGTATATTTTGATGATGAATCTAATTAAGTTTTCATTAGTTGAATGATTTTCTCACCTACTATTCTACTAGCATGTTTCTTATTTGAGTAAAATTCCATATTAAAATTTTAATTATATAGTTCCCCTCCAAAAATCACATCAGGAGTGATGTTTCAAACGATCTTTCAATTTAAAATCATCAAATTATATGGATGAAAATAAAAATAATATTGAAGAGCAAAATGATAAACCCTTGCCCGTGGATGTTGATTTAACAAAAATAAATAATGTGGAATCAAGTGTGAAAAATTTTCCATCTGATATAGGATTATGAATTCCTATTACTTATTCCTAACAATCAAGAAGAAATTCGGAGAATATATTTATAAAGAGTGTCATTTTAACCTCGTAATCATGATTTCTAAGAAGTAAATGTGGGATGAAAGATAGATGTTTTAATCCTAATTGAATTGATAAACACTCAGATTGGCTAGAGTATAACGTATATAAAGATAAAGCATAATGTCTATACTATTATCTTTTTAGAACAGCTGGTATAGGCAACAAAGCGGAAGAGGTATTCAATAAAAATGAATTTTCAAATTGGAAAGAAATAAACAAATTTGATCTTCATGTGTGAAGCCATAACTAGCCCATAATAATGATAGGCGAAGTTGTGAAGACCTAATAAGACAGAGTCAACATATTTGATTTCATTTTCAAAAGCAATCAGATCAAACTACATATTATACCAGCTTTAATACTTCCATTGATTGTATAAGATTTCTTTTGAAGTAAGGCCTTGCTTTCAAAGAATATGATGAGTCTTGTACATCAAAAAATTAGGGTAATTTTCTTGAACTGGTATAGTTTATGGCATAATATAACAAAGATATATAAGATGTGGTGCTAAACAATGTACTCGATAATTTGAAATTAATTGCACGTGATACTTAGAAAGATATTAAAAAAGATTTTGCTATTACAATTACAAAGTTCATATCTGAGGGGATTTGTGATAAGTTTTTATCAATATTGATTGATTAATTTCATGACACGTCTAGGAAAGAGTAAATGATAATTGCAGTGCATTTTGTTGATAGGAAAGGAGAGATTGTAGAACATTTTATAGGGATTTCTCATATGCTAGATACAACTACGAGTAGTCTAAAGATAACTACTAAACAACTCCTTTCATCATATGGTTTAAGCATTTGTAGAATACGGGGTTAAGGTTACGATGATAATAGTAATATGAGAGGGGAGTTTAATGACTTGAAGGCTCTATTTTTTAATGAAAGTATATCAGTACATTATATTCGTTATTTCTCACATCAGCTTTAATTAGCATTGGTGGCAGTTGCAAAAAGTCATGTTCAAATTGCTTTGTTATTTACCATAATATATAGTGTGATGAATATTATTGGTGTATCTTGTAAGAGGTGTGATCAAGTACGAAAACTACAATGTGAGAAGGTATTAAATGCATTATAAAGTGAAAATTTTATAACTTGGTGAGGCTTAAATCAAGAAATAACCCTTAGGCATGCAGGCGATACATGTCGGGGTTCACATTATGAATCAATAATAAGGTTAATCACTATGTTCTTTACAATAATTAATGTTCTAAAAATTATTTTGGAAGATGGTGTAAGCTCGGAACAAAAATGTGAGGTATGTATATTATTAGAGTCATTACAAATCTTTGAATTCTTTTTTTACCTACATCTAATAAAATATGTACTTGGTATCACTAATGAATTATCATAAGCTTCATAGAGAAGAGAATGAGATATTGTAAATGATATGTCTTTGGTGTATATATAAAACTAGACTGTAGGATATGAGAGATAACAAATGGGATGACATCATCAATAATGAAAATTCATTTTGCTAGCAACAAAAAATAAATATTCCACAAATGGATGATAAATGGGTTGCGCGTGGTCGGCCTCGCCGTAGAGCTAAAAATATAAGAAATTTATATAATTTTTGAGTTGAAATTTTCTACATAGTGCTTGATATGCAGCTTTAAGAGTTGAACCATTTTTTTTATAGAAGCAAATACCGAACTACTTTTGTGTATTTATTATTTGAATCTTAATAATGATTTTTTCGCATTCAATAAAGAAAAGTTGATTAGAATGACACATTTTTATCCTTCTAATTTTAGTCTTTTGATCATGTGGTTCTTAAAAATTAATTGGATACTTAAATTATGTATCTGCGATTTAATGACCAGTTATCTTCATTGAAAGATATAGTAAGCCTTGCTGAGAAAATTATCCAAAGTATAAAAGATATTATATATCCTGTTGTTTTTAGACTACTTGAACTGACATTTGTATTACCCGTTGCTACAGTAGGCGTTGAAAGAGAATTTTTTCCATGAACATTATAAAGAATCGGTTGCGGAATAGAATTGGAGATCAATGGATGAATGATTTATTAATTACTTATATTGAGAAAAAAATTTTAGATTCTATTGATAATAAATTAATCATTCAACTCTTTCAGAATATGAAGAGTAGACGTTATAAATTATAAATTGTTTGTTATCTTATATTTAATTTTATACACTTTTGAAAAAGATTTGAATTTTTCTTTTTAAACTGCCTATGCCGGTTTCAATCTGAATGAAAAAAGTTGAGAGCAAATTTTGATCAAATAATTTAGACCCCTCAACATATTTTCTGCCTCCACCACTGTCTCATTAATCATTAGTCTCAATTCAAACTTGTAGCAAGATCGTGATGTGGTTTCATAAATAACAGTAAATTTAACATGAAAATTTATTTTATTTTATTAACGAGAAAAAAATGCAATTGTAATTATTACGTCGGCATCTGACATCTGGCATTCCAAGTATTAACATTTGAAGTTTTATAAATTAATACAGCATAAAACTCGCTCCGTAAGGCTGTTGAGTGATCTTACAGAACCGACTTACACGTGACACCTCATTGGAATACCACTATCCTGCTGTATACTATATAGCTCCCCATCAGCATGGAAACCCTCGTACACATCGACACATAAGTCCTCCGTAGCAATGGTGGAACCTTTCTTTCTTAAAGGCATGCTCAGCGCCCACTCGGCTGCCGTGACCGCCATCGCCACTCCAATCGACCATGGAGACATGATGGTATCCTCCTCCCGCGACAAATCCATTGTCGTCTGGGATCTCACCAAGTCTTGGCTTCCCAATCATCACGACCTCCCCTCCCTCGTCGGCCTTCCACGCCGCCGCCTCACTGGCCACTCCCACTTCATCCAAGACGTCGCCCTTTCCTTCGACGGCCAGTTCGCTCTTTCAGGCTCTTGGGACGGTGAACTCCGCCTTTGGGACCTTGAAAAAGGCTGCACCACCCGCCGCTTCATTGGCCACACCAATAGCGTTCTTTCCGTCGCCTTTTCTTTTGATAACCGCCAGATCGTCTCCGGTTCCCGTGACAAAACCATCAAGCTTTGGAATACGATAGGTTCCTGCAAGTACACCATCCAAAATGGTTTAGATGGTGGTGGCCATAGCAATTGGGTAAGCAGCGTGCGGTTTATCCGCACCGCCCAGCCAACCATCGTCTCCGGATCATGGGACAGGACGGTGAAGGTATGGAATCTGACAAACTGTAAGCTCCAACGCACGATGACTGACCATGCAGGATATGTGAACGCCGTTACTGTGAGTCCTGATGGATCTGTATGCGCCAGTGGAGGCAGGGATGACGAGGCGCTGTTGTGGGATATTAATGGGGGGAAGAAGTTGTATTCGCTAAATACAATGACAACCGTCCATGCGGTGTGCTTTTGTCCCAACAGGTATTGGCTTTGCGCTGCCACACAGCACGGTGTGTTGATCTGGGATTTGGATAACAGGGCCGTTGTGCAAGATATCAAGCTGGAAACTCCCACCACGAATCGTAAGGGTACCAGCAAGGTAAGGATTTATGCAAAGTTGCTTCGTTTATTAATTATTCTTGCGATTTATACTTTGCTCAGCTGTCGTCGATTTCTTCGTGATTGCCTTTTTTTTAAAGAAGCTTATACCGTAGCTCGTTACGGGTTTCATAGAATAAGTGAGGATTAGTTAACACAACTTTTTTATTGATTTTTAAATTAATATTTTATTAAAATAATTTTTAGTACTTAAAAATTATTTTAGAAGTCAATAAATAAGTTATCTCAAACAAAGTCAAAATCAAACTGACTAGATCAATATATTGTGAGTCTAGATTAATGAGATAACAATTTAAGTTTGAGTCAATTTTGCTTCAATTACCAACACTACATACACGCAAATTTTGTCGGATTTTTTCGTCATGAATTATTTGATTTCCATAAAAAATAGAGATTATTGGTTGATTTCCGACGGAATAATTGGGTTACTAATCAAGGCAAAAAGATACTATCACCCAATATGCCGGATTTCAGTTGAATAGCCGTAAAAATTTTCTGATGGAATTCTCCTAGGTTTCGCATTCCTTCCTTTTGTTGGTGCCCATTTCAAAGATTTCTTATTAATATTGCGCTAGAAGTTTGTCATAAACATTTAACATCTTAAAAAAAAATTGTAGCCCTTTATTGTTTCTACGAAATAATTTATATTGTACAAGTTACACAATTTATTCAAACATATTATAACATATATTTTAAACTGTGAGAGAACAATATTAATACTAATAAAGAAGAAACCATTCAAACATAAATCTCACAAACATTCAAATATCATTGTTGTAAATATAAATCGTTCAATTCACAAACATAAATCTCATAATGATGTCTTACATACACATATTGAAAAGCAATTCTTCAAACATCACTTTCAACTTAAACATAAAGCTTATAATATTTTCCAATAAATATAAAAATCTAATTTAATCATCTTCAGTGTCTTCTCTCTCCTCAAATTCAAGCTCTGATTGCTAGCCATTCTTCTTTTGACTTTCCTTTACGTATGATCATAGTTCTGCTTATATCTCAGATTATTGCGTCAGCATCTCAGATAATATATGTCTCATCTATTCTGCCTCCTTGATGAGGGTAGATGCACGTTGCCTAATGATCTCCTAAATTTCACTATCACCATATGATGCTAAGCTTGATGGGTTTGTCTCATATGCATATGTATGGGAGTCTAATCTATAAACCCTCCACTTAATTTTGTCTCCCTCCCACATCTTGTGACAACGTGTGGTACTTGGAACACTATGTCGATCTTAAATGTGATCCCTTTGTAGTAGAAGACTAAGTCTCTGGAATTCATATAAAATCATCCTATGAGAGATGTAGTCAATGATAAATCATTTAAATTTGCATGTTATTCATGAACTTGATGGAATATTAGATACCTACATGAGCTTTATTTGCTTTTTGATTAGCCCATTGTAGATCAACTTGGTGTTGTTGAGTTCGTGTATGCAGCTCTAACGGCGTAGGCTCTCTACTAAGTACCTTTTTCTGCAAGAAAACTTAGTTAAAACAACAAACATTTATGTGTAATAAGAGAAATAATTAAATCGATCATAGAAAAATAAATAATTTCATGTAATGATTGTAGAAAACAAAGAATAAAGTGACATAATTACTAATAATATATTTTGCAAGCACTGCTATTAACATTATAACGATGATATGCCTTAATCTTCATTAGGATCTTTGTGATTGGAATATCAAATCCGTCAGAAAATTTCCTAAGGGTTGGTCCCTACATGGCCCCGATTTAGCACCCTCTCCACCTCTACTTAGCCTACATTATTTGATTATTAATTATGATATTATTAGAATAAATTGTAATAACATTGATTATAACTGGACAACTTATTATGATAATTTATGCTCAGGGGCGGAGCCATAAATTTTTTTGTATGGGGGCACAAATTAATATTAGTCATTAAATTATTCTTAAAATATAATTTGTATTCATTGTAAACACAGATCATGAGTCATATTTTTAATGAAAAATTATTAAAATACATTTAAAATTATATGCATTCCCATTAAAAAAAATAGATATATCATTTTATATCTTATTATTTATTAAAAATTTAATATTTCTCCAATAGTTATTAATGAATTGAGTTCAAATAAATTACTTTTATACTTAAAATATTTTATTTGAATTAATAAAATTAACTCTTACAAATTAAATTAAATCTTATATCTATTAATAATTATATAATGTAATTTAAAATAGGTTTTAACGGTTCATATTTTTTTTTAAATATGAATGAGCAAAGATAATGAGTTTTGCCTCTTAAATATCAAAGAAATGGAAAAAAATGAGCAATAAACTACTTGAAAATGACGAAGAGGGTGAGAGTTTCGGTTTGTGAGAGAAGAAGGTGAAAATGAAAGAATAGGATGGGATAGGATGAAATGGGGCTCTTACGGGAAAATTCTTCGACAAAAAAACTAGCCAAAAATTAAGTAAAATTTTTGACTCCTTGATTCGATAGCAAGAATGCTGCATGTACTAATCATAGGTGAAAATTTCAGCAGCAATTTTTTTGTTGGAATTTCTGGTGGATGATCAACCAAATGTTTCTGGGAGGTGGTCCTCCGAAATTTCCCCCGAAAATCTATGAATATCTTGTAGTGCCAGCTTGTGAGTTGGCATGTTTAAAAATTATTTTACTAAAAAATTACAATTAAAATATAATAAGTTTAACATTAAGTTGTTAAAAATATTAAAAAAATGTTTCTTTTTAATATTTTTAGTAATTTTTCTCTTAGCTCCTTTTTTTAAAATTTTATAATTATGATAATTGCGTGAATAAAAATTATCTTTTTCTCTTTTATAATCAATAAATGAGTTAGAACACCAGCTGATCGGAGTTTATATATTTAAGATTGAGTTCAAACTTATAATTATTTATTAAATCATGCTTTGGCTCCAACTAAGAAGAAATTATTACGTGTGGTCACCGGACCGGCCGAAGACGATTCAGGATGAGCTACGTCACACGATGCACAGTGGTATATTACCACGGTACACAACAAAATGATGATATGACACATCCTGATGAACCTCTGAACGGTATAAGGTAACCGCATATAATAATTCTACCCAACAACTAAGGGTGACTTGAGCTAGGGAGTCTAGCGTAGTCTCGTTCATTCCCCTAAGTTTAAGGCCGAATTTTATGCTGTGTATGGTTTAATGGTAACTTTATTCTTATTTTGTATTAGGAATACATTTGAAGAAAAGTACCAGGAGGATATCTCTACATGAAATGGAATTATTTTTAAGTATCATTAATTTTGTATGCCACATATTAATTTTTAAGACTAACTAAATTAACTTTTACGTAAATATAATTTAGCTATTATACATTCACAAATGTAATCCTAAAAAAAATGTATTGTAAAATATTAAAAGTTAGTTTTATTTTCTAATTGTTCAATTATAATTTTTTTTTTCAAAATTAAGTTATTCTATTTAACTTTTTTGTTGTATTAATAGATTGTAAATTATGGAATTGGACATGCATAGTAAAAATAGCATCATCGTGATTCATAATTGTTGCGGGTTAGAACATACATGATGATAGAGTTAGAAAATTTTTGTCTCCACGTTGTAAGGATATCCAACACACAAACAGAGGGAAAAAATGTAACACTAGAATTTTTACGTGGAAACCCAAGAAAAGGGAAAAATTACGGGGCCACGCTCAGTCCCTGAAATTGAGGAAGATAAGATTACAATAAACAGTTGAAATTCAATTTCAAAAGGAGATAAAAAATATGACGATCTTTGGCTGTTAGGCAAAACTCCGGTGTCATTCAACGACCGGGAAGAATTCCGATGTTTGTTGGCGATTGGGCAGAACTCCAACGCCGGTCTGCTGCTGGGTGAAAGTCAAGCAGTGGTTGAGGAGGAGTCTGTTCCTTCTCTTATGTTTATTCATTCTCTTCTTACTTCCTTGTTTAATTCCGGCGTTAGTTGGCGATCGGGCAGAACTCCGACGTTAGTCGGCTATTGGGTAGATGTCTGGCGATGGTCGAAGATTCTCTTCGTTCTTTTCATTTTTCTTCCTTTTCTTCTTACTTCATTTCTTAATTCTAGCGTCAGCTAGCGATCCAGCAGAACTCCGACTTTTGTCGGCTGCTAGGTGGAAGTATGGCAGTGGTCGAGGAGTCTCTTTATTATCTTCCTTTTCTTCCTTTTATTCTCTTCTTCACTTTTCTTCTCTTCTTCGTTCTCTTCTCTTCTTACTTGGGTCCCCCCCTCATGAGAAATGAGGGGTCTATTTATAGTTTTATGAGTATTGCATGGCCAGTAAATAAGAGAAAGATTAAGGGTAAATTGGGAGTGGTTCGAAAGGATGACTGATGTTGAATCCCATGGCCATGGACTATTTATTGAGCATTTGAAGGATCTAATGATTTCAAAATTTGATGATCTTGAGCTCGTTAGATTTGTCTTGTCGAGTCGCTCAATTCAACTATAAGCATGTAACATTTAGAAACCGTTTGGTAATCCAAATTATAGTTTGACCCTCCACATGCCTTCGGGTCTTAGATTTAAACTTATTTTGCCTCAGATTTAGTTGAATTTGGTCATGTTGACTTCTCATTTCAAATACAATTAATTCGACTATAAGTTTTCTGAAATCAGAGTTCAGATGATCTCCAATTTAATTTTGAAGTTTCAAACTTGATTTTTGCCTTAGATTTGGGCCCGATCAATATAATATTTTGGTGATGTATAAGTTGCCCATTATTTTTGGACATCAAAGCTCCAAAATTTCAAAAATATATGTCTCAGCTTTTTTAATAACTATAATTGTGAAAAATTTGCTCTCCAAAATTTAAATTTGCTCAAACTTAATCATAGAACTCCATTAAGATTTGAAAGTACCAATATTAGATCCAGAATGCCAAAAAATGGTTGCGGGGACCCCAAAATTATCTAATTTGGATTGTCCGGGTCGAAGATTAGGCACGAACAAGTTTGACAATGGAGCAGGCTAGCCGACGCCCGCGCGTCAGCGTTGGCTAAAGGGGCGCGTGGCCCCCCT